GCGTTGCTGCCCCTGCCAGGCAGGTGCTGGAGTGAAAGGCGATGCCGAGATACTTGAAGCTGGTGACTGCCGCCAGCTGCTGGCCGGCGAAGGTGAGGCCTGCTGCCTCTGCTGTCTGCTGCGCCGCGTGCTGGGTCCGCCGCCCACTGAGCAGCATGAGCTTGGTCTTGTCGATGTTGACAGTGAGGCCCCACTGCCGGCAGTACTGCTGGAGCAGGTTTAGCTGCCGCTGCAGCCCGGCCGCTGAGGTGGCCAGCAGGACCATGTCGTCGGCGTACAGCAGCGGCGGCACCGCGGCGCCGCCGCTGCCGAGGAAGCTGGGGAGGTCGAGCTGCTCGCCACGCCGCGCCGCCGCCATCAGCTCCTCCTCCAGGTCGTCGATGTAGAGGCCAAAGAGGGTGGGGCTGAGGGGGCAGCCCTGCTTCAGGCCTGTCACGGCCTGGAAGCAGGGCGACAGCCCGGCTGAGGTGCGCACCGACATGGGGACGTTGCTGTACAGCGACTGCGCTGCCGCCAGCCAGGCTGTGTCCACACCGCGTGCCGCCAGCTTCTGCCAGAGCTGCTCCCTGGGCACGCGGTCGTATGCCTGCTTGAAGTCGACGAAGCAGCCCCACAGCTGCTGGCCTCTCAGGCGGTGTTGGTCCTGGAGTGCGCGCAGCACGAGAGCTGCCTGCGCTGTGCCGCGCTGGCGCCTGAAGCCAAACTGCCCTGCTGCTCTGAAGTTGCTGGCCTCTGCCCAGTCTGAGATGCGCTGCTCCAGGATGGCGGCGTACAGCTTGGCTGCAACAAGGTCTCGTTGGCATGCAGCTCCAACAGTTCGGGGAGGAGGGGCAGGGTCCTCAGCTGCACGCACCCGTTGATGTTCAGCCGAGCCAAAGCCGGCAGGAGGGCCAGGGGCTGGGCGTCCACCAAGGGGTTGCCACTCAGGCGGACCTCCAGCAGCCCCGTGCAGGCCGCCACCGCCTTGGGCACCTCGCACAAGCTGCAGGACTCCAGCGCCAACGTCTTCAGGCGGGACATCACAGACAGGGCCAACGCCGGGTCAGTGGTTGCAGACTTCGTCAGCTGGGCCTCGGGCGGTATGTTCAAGGGAGTACACTCCACGCACAGGGTGTGGAGGGGCAGCAGGCCCAGCGAGCGGGGGATCTGTCTGTCTGTCTGTCTGTTACACCCATAAGGAGCAAATGAATGCTACGGGCCCAGCTGTGGTGCCAAACAGCTGGAAAAGTATGCACCAACACAAAACACATGAGGGAAGAGATTCAGGTATGGGGGGTAGAGCTGTACACAACATTGCAGCAAATACAAAACCCACCCAAAATTATAAGCTGCATGCCCCAAGCAATACACACGGTGGGCATCTGCATAAAGATAGCAAGAGGCATTTAATGAAGCGCCGGATAAGCTCAACCCCGGGCCAGCCGAGCCGACCGCCTGGGCAGGGCCGTCAAGACGTGCCCAGGGGCCACCTCGACTGGGGATGGGGCACGAGATGAGGGTGTGGAGGTGGCGGCCTCCGCCTGGTGCCTCGCCGCCGTCTCCCGCCGCTGGCGTCGCCGCCGCGCAGTTGAGGATTCGGGCCGCTCGTCTGCCGCAGGCGACTTGGGGTTAGGCGGGGCAGCAGGCGTGGCCGCCGCTAAAGGAACCACGGCACTGGCCAAGGGCGGCCACTGTGCCGCCGGTGGTGAGGGCGGTGACACGGTGGGGGCCGGCTGCTGCGGGTGGGGGGCCGCGGCAGGGGTGGCGTGCGCACGTGGTGGCTGCTCGCCGCCGCCGTCAGGCGGCGGCGGTGGCTGCTGCTGCTGCTGCTCCCTCCTGCCGCCGTCGGGCGGCGGTGGTGGTTGCTGCTGCTGCTGCTGCACCGTGCCGCCGGCAAGCGGTGGCGGCGGCGGCTGCTCGCCGCGCCTCCGTGCTGCCGCGTTAGCGGCTGCTGGCGGGGCGGAGCGCTGCGCACGGCGCTGTCGGCCAGGCTGGGGCGGGACCGGGGTGGGCTGTGGCTGCTGCTGCCTGCGCGCCTCCCGTTCGCGCAGCTCGCTGGGGCTGAGGACGGGCCCAAGGGTGATCCCAGTACCCTTGAGCCGCTTGCTGCCAGCCAACACAGTAGCAGCCATGGCGGCGGGCAGCGACGCCTCAAGCGCCATCCGCCCATTCCGCGTGATCCACACCCGCTGCACCCGCACGCCGCTGACTGACATGCTGTAGAAGGCGTGCAGCCAGCCGCAAAGGCGTCTGCAGGCATGCTCGTGTGTGGGAAGGTATCCAGCGGCAGCCTCCGCTGCCAAGCCGGGGAGCCCTATCACCGCAATCTCAGCTGTCTGCTCGCCTGTGGGTGGCGCTGGGTCCCGCGCAGGCTGCAAGCTGCCCTCGAGCGGCACGTGCCGAACACTAGGTTCGGCATGCCGCGGGGGGCGGCTGTCGCCGCCGGGCCGCGCCTCTACCAGGCGCTTCTCCACCCATCGCAGGAGCACGAGGAGAGCTGCTGCCGAGAACAGGCCCAGAAACAGGCCGACGGCCGCTGCCACTGCTAGCGCCTCTGAGAGAGTGAAGGAGACGACTGTGTCGAGCATTCTGTGCAATAACTGTGCAATAACTGTGCAATAACTGTGCAATAACTGTGCAATAACTGTGCAATGGGATCATGCGTAGGTTGCCGCCGCGCAGGGTCACTGACGTCAGGTGGGGCAGTCTTGGCAGGGCATGGTCCAGGCTGGCGCCGGTCGGGAGGGGGCCGAGCAGGGACAGGCTTTGCAGTGTGGTGGGGAACTCGTAGTCTGCCGGGAACGAACCGCCGCCAGTCAACAGGGATGTCAGATGCCAGTCACACCATGACGCCGTGTGCCCTAGATCCGTCTGGGACACATCCAGGCTTCGCAAACTGCATGCGCAATGGACCACACAGCTCCAGGTCCCAGCACAGCACAGCACATCACAGCACAGCACAGCACTCACTTGCAAGGGCGCTCAGGGAACACCTCAAGGTCGCTTGAAAGGCACCAAGGTACACCAACGCAGGCGGGAGGCTGTCCGTGGACACATGGGCACGCAGCTTCAAGGAGGTGACAGAGGTCAGGGTGTGTAGCCCAGACACCTCGCACACCATCCAGTAGTAGGTCCCATTGACAGACATGTCAAGTTGCGCCAGAGCGGTGCAGCCGGACAGAGGTGCAAGGTTGGCCATGTGCGTGCACAGGCTCAGCCTCAGGTACTTAAGAGATGGCATGGCTGCCGGTAGGGCACCCTGGATGTCAGCAAACAGCTGGGTTCTAGGGATCATGACGACCTTATCGCACGGAAGCCCACCAGCCAAACCACCGCGTTGCAGCCACACGAGGAAACCAGCAGCGTTCCCATCATCCACCAGGAAGGTGTAATGAGGTGCGCGCACAGTCCACCATACGCCCCAGCGAGTTCGGGCAACGTGTCTCCGCCACCTGTTCACGAGCATCATTCTTGCCCTGCACCGACATGTGGACCACCACCAAGCGTGCATATGGACCACCACCAAGCGTGCATATGGACCACCAAGCGTGCAAGCGGGGGGGGCTGTCAGTTCAGACAACCCTTCCACAAACTCACTTGTCTGTCCATTCGGGCACATACGATGCCACCAAAGCCAGCACATCAGGGTGTGCATTGTGCATGGTATGTAGATGGCGTGAGCTGCGGCTGCTGCTGCAAACATGATGAGGGGTCGACGCACCACTCTCGCTATCACCACTCGGCCGCACCGCGTACGCCGCGTTATCGATCGAAAGAGGAAAGCCGGTTCCAATACGGTTGCGAACGCGGTGAGGAGGTGGGAAAGCGCGTTTTGATTTTCCCTACGCGTTGTGGAAGTGCGCGTTGTGGAAGTTGTCCGGAAGGTGGTCGTGCCAACCACAGCTTTATCCGGCAAGGCAGGTGCGCGTTTAGAGTGGGCAGCTATGTATTTGCACGACGGACACCCCGCGCATCACGAAAACACGTACGGGTTCCAGCCTTTCGAGGTCCTGGGCCCTGCTGTGCGTGACGCGATAAAACTAGGTCAAGACGCTGCTAATCCCCCCCACAAGGCCTTTCAACTCATTTCTTTGCCTTCGGGCTCTCCGGGTCGCGATGGAGATGGCAGCCCGACGAGCCTGGTGAGTTGTGCCTGCGCTCCCTGCACGGGGGCTCGAGTCCACGCTGCCCAGTCTCTGTGACGAACGATGCTGCTGTGCGGCGACGACCACGAGAACCCCCGTGTTGTCGGGCAGTTGGCGCAGCTGGCGCACAGTCCTGTAGCTGGTATTGAGTTAGGTTGATATGGGGCGCCCAGGGGTGCTACAGGGGCCACGAGTGACGAGCTGACTCGCTGCACGCCTTCCGTGCCTACAGGGAGGCCTTGGTGGATGAAACTGTCGCCCTCCTACCAAACACCCAGGTAGGTGGTTTTGATGTTGCATTGCGTGTCATGTGCTCCTCGTCCAGTCTGACTCTTTTACTACAGGCATCGTGCGACGTCCGCACCTTCCTCGGGAAGTGCTGGGAGGTTGCACACATCCTCCAGCGGTCCTCAAAGAACGTGCTTCTGGCGCCCAAGGGCACGGCCTTTCGTCTGAAAGGTGCCCTAAAGGTGAGACTGGACGGTCCACCGACGAGGGGGCGGTCCACCGACGAGCGGGCGGTCCACCGACGACACCCTAAACCTGCCATGCACGTGCAGGACATCCCCCTTAACCAGTTCCGCAAGTTCAACAATGCCCCACACCCTTCCTCGTGGACGGTGCTGGGCATCGTGGGCGTTGCCCTCGACCAGCTGCATGGCACCATGCTGGGCTACCAGCTCCTGCACGTCAACGAGGTCGTCTGGGAACGCCTGGAGACCTGCGACGCGGCTGCTGCCATCCACCTCGTGCTCATGTTCCTCAACCTCGCGCTCAACGGTCTAAACATCGAGGATGTTGACTTGTCTCATGAGTTCTGGGCCCCACCTGCCACCACCTGCCTGATGACGGCGCCGAAGATTCCCATAACTCTCAATGGCGTCCAGACATGGGAGAAGACCAAGAACTACTACTGGGGCGTTGACTCAACCATCAAGTTCACCAAGTCGGACGTGAACTTCACCCAGTCGGATGTGGACTCGGACGTGGACCTCACCCAGTCGGACGTGGGCTTTCCCTCACCCGCCGCCGCTGACAACCCCGCCGCCAACTTCCGCGCCCATGACGTGACCCAGGAGCAGTGTGTCCCACACTTTGTGAAAGACGGACTGATCTACATCCTGGGTGCGTTTGAGATTGACTTTGACTCACCGCGCGCGCGAGCGGAGCTGGTCCCGCCTGGGTTGCAGTCCCCGGACCTGTTCATGGTCAGCAACAAGTGGCCTGCTGCAGGGTCTGGTGCATCCCTGGCACAGCAAGACGCGTCGGCGCAGGCCGATACGTCGCAGGCCGATACGTCTGCGTCCAACTTCCTCGTGTCTGACTGCACCCGCCGCCTCCTTCCCTACTGGTGGAGCATGGTGTGACACCATTTACTTGTCTCGGTGTCGTTGACGTCCCGGTGTGTGAATTCTTACCATGCCTACCATCTTCTAGCCTACACCTCTCCAACACACCTTTCCAAATGCTGAACTCCCTTTTTTCCAACAGTTCTTTCAACAAACCTGTTGCCAACCTGTTGCCAGCCTGAACCCCCGTGTCCGCCTTGCTTATCCTGTTCGATCGTGGCCTTGCTTATCCTGTTCGATCGTGACCGGACCTCGTGACCGCACCCTGCAACTTCACACCGACAGCCGCTCGATCACTGACGCACACTCGGCAACGCTGCCAACGACCATGCACACGCTGAATTCCATCACCTTTGGCACCGTCGCGCTTCGGCGGTTCTGGTTGCCGCCGTGCCACACCACGTTCCACTTGCTGAACTGCACCTCCTGGTGGGGGGGCAATGGGTTGGCGCCCCGGTGGGTGATGGTGTCGGCCGAGTACCAGGCTCCGGTGGGGTATGTGCCACGCCTGGGGTACGCATCGCACAGAATTCCAATGGCCGTCTGAGGGGACGAGGCCAGGATGATGGGGTGTGGGCGGGCTGGCGGGCCACGGCTGTACTGCTGGGTGTTCTGCAGCAACGCCTTGCCGTTCTGGACGGCGTAGATCCTCGTGAACGACCGTGGCATGTACCCCGTCAGGATCTCCACCTGTGTGAACCAGTGCTTGCTGGGGCATGAGAACCGCAGCTGGAACCTCACCACGTTCTTGAAGAACACGTTCTTGAAGCGGTACCCAATCGTCACCCTCTTCTCCAGGGTGGTGTCCGACAGCACGCCAACCCCACGAGCGCGGTTGCGCCTGGGTGACGACGCCACCACCTCGCCCGGAGGGTAGTAGTACGCCATCTGGCACTTTGTGTACATCTCGGTGGGCGACGCAGCGGCAGCCAGCCACCGACTGGACGTCCTGCCGTCGCGGTCGTGCACGTTGCCGGCCTCGGTCGGGTTTTCCTCCTCGTTGGACTGCCCGCTGCCGTGCGGGGCCACGTCGTAGCTGATGGCAGACTGCAGGTTCCCGCCGTTGCCGGCCGTCACTCCGACGAAGTCCACGCCGCGGTACCTGAAGGTCCACACCGCGCCAGCCAGCCGCCTCGCAAACACCATGGACACCCCGTAGGCCGACAGGGTGTGGTCACACCCCGCAGCCCCCGCGGGCTGACGTCGAGAGACCTGCCGTCGGGCTGGGTGTCGGGCTGGGCGTCGTCGACTGCCTGCGCTTGTGAATACACCATGATCAAGAAGGCCGCCGCCAGCGCGCAGTTCCCCATGGTCAACATCGTCAGCAGCAGCATGCTCGGCGGCGCGTAGCTACTCCCAACATTTTTGCGTCACGTCTTCGGGCTCCAGCTGGCGCAGTACCCGACGACCCGACGGTGAACACCTATACGGACCATGCTTTACACGGATCATGCGGACCCAGGCCGTTTCAAGCGCAGGGGATGACAATGGGGGCGTCAATGTTGCAAACCTGGACCCGGTCGCAAAGGACCCGGAGGGCGGCCGCGTCACGGACCGACAATCCCGGGCTGTCGCGTACACGAAGGTGGGTGAGGGCCGGCAGCACCGGGTCAAAGACGAGAAAGTCGCGCACGTTCAGAAAGGTGAGGCGACGAAGGGACGGGGGAAACGACATGGACTGGCAGGTACGGGGCGTGCTGTTGTCGAACACCACCGAGGTCAAGTGGCTCGATAGTAAGGTGGAGTGCATCACGGTGTTTTTGAGCTCCAGCTCCCGCAGTCGGGTCATGTGGGGCCAATGTTGGTCGCCGCACAAAACGATGCCTTGCAACGATACCTTGGTGAGGGACGTAAAGCGAGGCAGCAGGAAGTCCGCCCAAAGATTCACGCCGCCCGTCACGTCGACAGCCAAAGTCTCCAGGCACGTGGGCAAGGCGTGCAGGGCCGTCTCGGGAAACGGCAAGTCAGGGCGGGTCATGCTCACGCGAAGGGAACGCAGACGCGTCATCGCGGCAGTACACGCAAAGTCAGCCTCATGCGGAACAAAATCGACGTTGGACAGGTGAAGCGTCTGGATTCCGGACAGGCTGTAGAAGAAGGGGTC